CTCCCCCCCCCCCCCACCCCCCCCCGCGTTTTGGGGCTGTAAGGGAGAAAGGAAGAGGGTTTTCACCCTCTCCGCCTTCGGCAACCATCCAACACGCCCCCCAAGGTCGGCGGATTCGTTCTAGGAGGATTTCTGAGACTAACTTTCAGAGAGCTTGCCAGGACTTGGGACGATACGAAACCTGAGCAAATGCTATAAGGTTGTACAAAGAGCACAGAATCGTGTGATGGGAAATGCAGGTTCCTAGTATCTCAAGTGGCTCAGCAAGGTGCAGATGCTTGGGACCTGTACCTGAAGGGCATCTTCGACTACTGCAGCAAGAATGCCATCATCGATCATGCTGTCACCTTGATTGGCTATGGAAAGGACTTTTTCTGGCTTTCTTCAGGCTTGCATCAGGCAAGGCGCCTTGTAGCTGGCATTCTGCAGGATGCTGCATTGGGCAAGAAGTACTGGCGAATTCTCAATTCGTGGGGAGAAAGCTTCGGTGAAGGCGGCACCATCCGTATCCTGCGCACAGATCAGGAGGACCTCTCATGCGGGTTTTCATTGTTGGCCAGACAAAGCATTACTATGTCAAGCCCAAGTTCAGCAGGACATGGCTTTGTCCAAGCCCTGCTAGGAGAGCTATTGCGGGACGGACTCGCAGCCTGAGCTGGGAACAGGCTGTGATGGCGGCCCGAAGCAGGTGAAGGTTTGCGGAATGTGCAGCTCTCAAAACTCTGCATCCTTCTTCCGTTCTGGAACAAAACTCAGAGCGGTTGAGGTGCGGCATCCTCTATGACACTGCCATGCCGATCATGGCGCACTAGGATTCCTGCTCTTGGAGGTGCCCGGATCGGGTTGAAGCAATGCGGCTTCTGACTACCCTGTAATTTCTCGGTTGACATTGTGATAATTTGCACTTGGCAGGCTGAATGGCATTCTGAAGGGTATGTGAAAGCAGTGGCAAAGACCGCAGTTGAGAGTTCAGAGATGTTCAGAGAGGATCTGAAAGAGAATCTGAAGGAATTGCGTTTAGGCTGGAAACCAGGCATTTACGCAGTGGCCTGGTCCGCACTCCTTGGCCATCCTCAAAACGGGTTCATACCAAGTGAGGCGATTTTCACTCTCGACTGCTGCATCTTGCGGAGCCACGTAATGGCAAAAAGATGCAACAAATACGTGCTTTCATTCTGGGCATCTTGAAGTCGCCCCAGCCTGCCGGAAATGGACGCCTCAGATCTGACTGAGAGCCTTTGGAGCTTTCGAGGCCAGACGTCAAGGTCCAAGGCGTCAGACGCCGTGCCATCGTCGCAGGGATCTAGTGCCCAGCCTGAAATGCTTCAGACCTCCAAGAAATCCTGAAGCATGTGCGAGCATGTGATTGCGCTGTTTCAGGCATGTGGCCACTCCTTCTGGGAGGCATAGGCCGGTTGAAGTCGTTGTAGTTTGGTATCTTTCTCTGACGGCTGTTGCCGCTATCTATGCAAGGGCGAGGATGTAGAGTTTGGGCCTGCATCGGTGCAGCAAGTTCCTGAACATCAGGTTTGGGAGCACTGGCCGCCCGCCAGGGTCTGAGGGCAGCACGTGCCTCTGGAGTCAAGGTGCGAAGAACCCGCCCGAGAGGTTGTACGTCTATTAGGCCTTTGTGCATTGGCAGGTGAACTTCAACATGCCGGCCTTCGGTGGGTTTGGTGCATTTGGCAGCGGCCTCCAGGGCTTCGAGACACCGATGACTCGAGCGGAGGCCCAGAGATTGCTTGTCTGTGCCAGCGTGGCCGGGTGCGATGCCAGGCCCGGCAGATTTTGAATTTGTCCTCCATGGCCCCGAACAAGGAGGCTGTAAGGGAAGCGCACCGGAGGCAGGGAGCTCACCGACGACTTCAAGTCAGCCCACTCCACTGCACCCCAACGTAGAACTGAAGGGGTAGACTTAAGTCTGCTGAAGCATCAGCCGAAGCTCCACATGCAGTGGCCAGCGTGCAGATAAAACAAGTGTGCTGTTGTAGTTCACATCATCAGACCTTCAGCCTCCGAGCAAGTCTGCCATCGCCAGGCTTCTGATTGCCAATCACCCGGACAAGGGCGGATCCACCTACATAGCCTCCAAGATCAACGAGGCGCTGTGTTTCTGTGCTCCTGTGGATGGTTTCATGAGTCCTTGGGCGTGCCAGCACATGGAGGCCAAAGAGGTGATGTTGGGAAAGAAGGCCACCTGAGGCAACCCTTGGTGGATCGCCAAGATTTTCACCACGCAGGGCTGTAGTAGTTCGTGTTGGCCTCCTTGCCAGCCTTTGTGATAATTGCTCAGGGCCAGTTGCAGCTTCTTGCGGCCTCATGCGAGACAGTCGCAAGCTCCTTTCTGGTGTTTGCGCAAGGTTTGTAATACTCGCAGGTGAGGCCCTGGTTTTGTGTGGCATCCTGGGCAGAGGAAGGGAAGACTCCACATTTTCCATAGTATAGAAACAACAGCCTCAATATCATGAGCACATAACTAGGCGCCCGGATAATGTTTCATCAAATTTTCCTCACGCTGGTTACAGCCTGATATGCAAATACTCCGTCTCAGAAGCACATCAGTGTCCTGGCCCCAGCACAATTCAAAGTATGACGTCGATGTGGTGCTGCAGGAGACTTTCAGGTCTTGGCTGCCTGTCGCGTGCTGTCCAGTTGATGTTTCACCGGAGATTCGCATCTCTGAATTGTTCTGCGCTTGGAAGATATACCGGCAGCTAGAGCTTTTTCGCTGAACGAATTGGATACCTTGGCTTGCTTCGGCTTCTGTACAGCCTGACGCAGATAGCACTTGTGGCTTAGCAGGGACAGCCGTAGGACTGAGCCGCAGACCGCCACGATGCCGGGTACGCCCGACCAAGTTCTATGTGGTTGCTGCAGAGGTTGTAAGCCCGTCTGATTCGAGTTGTCGATGCGTAGAGCCTATTGGAGCACGCATGCGGTTTTGACGGGAGCTCGCCACAGATGCCAGGTGCTACCCCGTGCCTCGTGGCCAACTCTGCAGATGCCAGGGCACCCCAGAAATTCTTTTCCATACAAGTCCCAAATTGAAGTTGAATGTAGACTTTTCAGATCTGCTGCTCTGCTTTCTTTCTCAATGGAGATGCAGAATTTGCCATTCACGTTGAAGCAGCTCAGAATCTACGGTTTTGCGTCTTGAAGGTCTCCACGCAAAAGATCTTGGTTGCAGCCCATGCAGCTGGCCTCGATTTGCGTGTAGAGGCCGGCATGGCCCCAGAACTGGCTTTTGCCTGGCTTTGCACGCCTTCTGTTGTGGCGAGGCACCAAAGGCCCCCGGGCCGCCTGAGATGCGTCTGGAAGTGGGAGGAAAGAAGCAAAGCGTTCGGTGCCCCCACTTGCACGACGTGATGGCTTACCGGGTGCCTTGACGGGCAACCTTCATATCAGGTACGCCAACGCGATTTTGCGCTTTATTGGCAGATTTTACGAAGGCATGGAGGTGCGTGAGATTTGTAATCTACGATGTGCAAGGCATCTTGTAGAGCTCCGTTCTCGTTGTCTAGGTGTATGGAAGCACCTTCTTCGAGTCTGCAGAGGCAAGAACTTTGCAACTCATCGCGTCACTCTGGATTGCTTTTCGACGTACTACGCGTTGAGCTTGTGAGTTTTATTTCTCAGTTGGAACACAAGCTATTTGCTGAGCCAGCCTGGTTCCGGACTTTGCAGGTGGACTCCTGGCTTGATTGGTGCGAGATGGAGCTCAGTAGCCCTCCCCCGCAGCCAGAACAGGCTAGCGGAATGGACAGAAGCTCTTTTGGAGAAGCTTCCATGCGAACATCGCTGTGCATGGTTCGGCAGGCTTTGGAGACCCTCGAGAAGCATCTGGATCAGCGAGCCCTGAACCCAGATATGGAGAGCCGGCCCAAAGCTGGACATGTGGAGTTGTTGCAGAAGCTGCCCCATGCTTGCAGCTGTATGTCTGTGGCAATTTAAGTTCACACCGCAGAAGCCTCTGAGTGTTTCAGGCTGATGGGTTTGAACTCCAGCTGCTGTCAAGATGAGGATCCGCCCAACGAAGTGATTCAGCCAGAAGTCCTGCACTGTGGAGCAAAAGCGGAAGACGATCATCTAGAACATGGAGGCAAGTGCAAGGATCAGGAGCCAGTGGCCAGAGATGCCCATGATGGTGGTAGAGAGGCCCAGCCGCCCTCCAAGACTAGCCGTCTGCAGAAAATGCGCCACCTCTTTGTGGACAAAGAGATCGTCCGAGGCATCGACCTGCGCAAAACTCTGCTTCGGGGTGGGAAGCTCTGGCGCTGTTCCCCAGTGGATCTGCCGCTGGAGCAGAGGGAGCAGCTTTGGCATCAGTCTAAGCCAGTGGAAGGCTTTGACACCTTCCTGTCCCACACTTGGCTGACTCCAGGGAAGTGGAAGATCTTGGCCCTGTCAATGCAATCAAGTTGGAAGATAGCGCTTGCGTGTTGGGCCCTGTCAAGCAGTTTGGCAATGCTACTTTCTGGTCTTGATATTCTTCCTACACCAGGAACTCAGAAACCTGACGTAGCGGGCTTCCGCACTGAATGCCCCCTGGGAGCGTGGATTATTGCATTTGGCTTCTTGGGAACAACCCTCGGATTCTTTTTCTCAGTGTGCATACTGGGGAGGTGGGGCAGCTCCGGAGTATGTTTCTTTGATGTAGTGACTTGGCCTTGGCTTAGCCTTTCTCAATTTTTTGGGAATACATAATCTGAAGAGCGGACATGTTGTGAGAAAGCCGCAGGTGAGCATTCATCAGACAGATCCAGTCTTGATGGAGCGCGGGATTTATGGGCTTGGCGGCTTTTTGGCTGTAAGCAAAGAGCTGCGAGTTTTGTGGAGCCCGCCGTACCTGTCTAGGCGCACCCGTCTTTGAAGCATGCTTGTCTAGCATGACATTACGGCAGCCAAAACCTACTCTGCTCCTGCCTGCAGGCTCTGGTGTGTGTTCGAGCTCGCTGCCTACCGGACAGCCAATCCCACGGGTAAGATCACTCTGGCACCCCTGTTCCTTGAAGGCTGCATGCTGGCATTGTGGCTCAGCAGCTACATGGGGTGTTTCTTTTACCAGGTCTCCTTCATCTTGCGATATGGTGATAGGGTTTCCTTTCCTGCTTTCATCATTGGTACACTCCCCGCCATTACTGCTATGCACTTGCTTCGGTATTTCTCAGTTGAGAAGCAGCAGCTCATTTACGAGCTTGCAAAGTTCGATGTGCGAAATGCCGACTGCCGAAGTGAGTTTGATAAAGAGTTCATCCATGCAGCCATAACTGAATGGTATGGCACAGCCGAACAATTCAGTGAATATGTGCGCGGTCCTCTGCGCGACGAGCTGATTACAAATCTCCATCGCAGTGGAGCTCCTGTTGCTTATGCTCTCATGGTTACAACAGCCCCTGTTTCGATTGGATTGGAGTACTGCCTTGGACTCTGGAAGGGAGGCGCCCCAATGATCAGCATCATGACGCAGTTGGTTGGAGATGTCCTGGCAACCAACATCTTTTGGTTTGTGATATGTGTTCAGATTGCCATTGCTCTCTGCGACTACTTTGTACCAAAGGGCCGAGGCTGTTTCGAAATTTTGAAGTCATTGATGATTTGCGTGGTCTTCGGAATCTGTGCCTCGATTGGAGGCGCCTTATCTTCTTTGGCTTGCAGGCTTGGGTTTGGAACTGCCCTTGGGTGGTTTTGTTTCACACTGATGCCGATCTGCCTTGCTTTCGCTTGTTCAAAGAGGCTGCTGCGGCACCAGGCAGGCCTGCCTACTACTCCATCTGATAATGCACCCGAACAGGCATGAAGTGCATCTGTTCCTCGCAGTAATCTGCAGAAGCAGAGCTCTGCAACGCTCGCCAGCCAGGTGAAAAAGAGTCTTGCGTTTCTACTTTCTGAAAGAGCAGCGGGACATACATCAACATCAGAGATGCCGCTGCCCTGGGCAGAGGTATTCCTGATCGGACAGCGCTTCACCATTGCAGATGCCTCCGTAAGCGTGGCTCTTCACCACTTGCAGGCACAGGCGCGGCAAAGGCAAGCGTCAGAGACGACTGTTGAATGGGTTCCCCGGGCAACTCCTTCAGGTTCAGGTATGGCAGGAAATCGTTTGCCAATTCCCTCACCCAGAGCATAGGGTTGCGGTTGAAACTCCGTGTTGAAGGGCCTGGCCGCTTCGCTTCCTCGTGCGACGAAGCGGTGGTTGGGCACGTGCATGGCACACGAGGTGGGCAGGTTTCCACGAGCAGAAAAGCCAAGCTCCTCCGCCAGAGGGTCGTGTTTTTGCCAGGCCTTTGGAGCTGTGGTCAAAGGCGCCAAGCCCGCCACAGGATCCAAGGCACCTGCGCCAGCTGGGCCAGCGATGCCAGCGGCATCAGCCTCCGCTCCGATGGCGCCGAAGGCTGGGACTTGGCTTTATGTTAGCATGCTGTTAGCTTCCACAACTGCCGCAAGCGGAGAGGCCGCCTCGGATCAGCCGCTCCTGGATCGTCGCCACCCTAGACTCCTGTAGGTCCTCCAGCGAGTCACACGGTGAGACCACTGGATTGCTCGGATGAGGCTACAGCAATGCAGTTGGTGGTCGCATCGAAATCAAGCGAATCATTGCTACCCCAGACCAGGGTCAGAGCCTGGTGGGCAAGAAGGCTCACTCCTCATTGGTTTGCAAGAAGTGTGCCTCTGCGTGTGCACAGGTCTCTGTGTGCGGCTGGGTGAAGACGGCCAGAGAGGCTTCTATTCGTGGAACAGCTCATAACTGTTTGGATTTTGCTTTGGCTTTCAAAGCGTTCAAATTCACAAGATCTCACAAACCTAGTCGGTATGAGCATTCTGCATATTGGTGCTGCATGAAGGCAGACAAGGGGAAGATCATGTTTGTCCAACTCAACGACGGATCCACGCCCTTAGACATCCAGGCATCAAGCAGTCAGATGTTCCTAATGCATAGCACGGCCCGCCAGTCTAAAGATTTTTATGTACCAGCAGGTCAGCTACTCGTAGTAGAGGAACCATGTAACACGAGTTGTGCGACAAGGGACTGCCGGGCCTGCACACTTCTAACAGAGCATCTGTAACTGCAGGTGGTTATTGACTCAGCAGCAAAAGGTTTCGACAGCCTCAAGCTTGGTTACATCACTGGAATTTCTCAGGGTCTCGCCTAGTCTGACCCTGAGGCCTTAAAGGCAAAGTGGGCACTGGAGCGTCGATGAAGTGCACAGGGGAGGTGGCATCACTGCTATCTGCTATGCATTGGCCAGCAGAGATGTACGGGCGGAAGCATTGCGCTTGGAGTGGACTGTCTATTGGGCAGGTGGTGTCATCTCCTGGTGGAAAGCAAGCAGTTGAGATCCTTGTGAAGGATGGTAGCTTTTGGACGCTGCTGTTTTGCTTGACTTCGTTTGAGGTGAAATCTGACCTGCTTAGACAATGGGTCTTAAATCAAAGTCCTATGACAGATCATGATGAGCAGGCTGAAGGAACAGAGGTCATCCTCTTCGGCGGTGTGGATGCAAAGGCCCCGATATATCTCTTGCACCAGAAGCTGCCATCAGCAGAAGCTTCCATCAATTTACGGCTGATACAGTGACACCGTAAAACTTGCAAGCCGCGGTACAAGAAACTCCACCCCCCCCAAAAAAAAACGTCAGTCCTCATCTCCTCCTCTGCCTCATTGCGCAGCACGCCATCATGCCGCCTGCTGCGTCCAGGAATATCCACTCTCGAAGAAGGGGCACAGTCATGAGCACGCGGCCTAGCCTGTTTGTAAGGCTGAACGCTCTCTACAGCAGGGCTGTGTTTGAGAAGCTTTCTTCGTGATGATGTGCAGGTTTTTGCGGTCTATTGCGCACTTGCGCCCGCGGTCGAATTTGATCGGCTGTGTCTGGAACTTGCTTGTTTCAGCTGCAGACCATGAGTTGCACTGACTGTCGTGGATTTCTTGTCGAAGGTCGCGCGGGTACGAAGTGCACTGGCACATGCCACGCACGAGTTTTTTAGGCCCCTTCTGTAAGTAGCGCTGTTACGTGCAGATAGGCCCCGAGCTCTGGTTAGCCGCTCAGCTCAGTCAGACTGACGGAGCCTGAACTTGTTGTACCGCCCTTGCAGGACAAACGGTTTCCTGTACGTATTTGCCTCAGAAAGTCAATCACGAAACTTCTGTTGTCGCTGAAATTCCTGAGTTCGCGCTGTCAGACATAAGGTTCACACTCCACTTATCACAGCTGCAGATTGTGAAGGGGCAGGTGAGATGCAGCGCCCTTACATGACAGCAATGCGGATGTGGTGATGAATTGGGGCCTCATCTCAGACCGACGTTCCCTGTGCAAGGTTCCAGGTGACTACGATGATGGCAGAAGCTGAAAAGGATGGGAAGCAAATGCCCATGGTTAATGGCAAGGCTCGCAGCAAAAAGTCGGTTGAAGGCTTGTGAAGGGGTTGGCAGCATTTGATCGCCTCTCGCCCGCGCAGTTTGACTACACAAAAGATTTCTTTCAGAAGCCAGCCTTCCTGACAGTCAGTGGGCAGTGCGGTCCTTGTGTGATGGACGGAGCAGAGTGTCAGTTTCTCTGGAGGAGGCAGGAGGCAAAACTAGTGCACTTAGGCTGTCAGTGGAAAACTACTGCTGCTCACTGTCCAAGGCCTTAAACTCCCACTCGACATGGCTTCGACATGGCTTCAACTTGCAATGGGCGTGCCATGGGCGTGCCAGGTATACACCTTCGGGCCAACTTTCCGGGCCGAGAACTCTCACACTTCTCGGTGCCCTCTGGCCTGCATTCGGTGTTTGTGGCAAAGGAGTTGACATGCCAGGCATCTTGCAGAGTTCTGGATGATTGAGCCGGAGCTTGCCTTTGCCGACATTCATGATGACATGAACGTGGCAGAGGCCTGGCAGGGTATGGCAAGATTCAGGAAGGCTTCCAACCGATTAAAAGGGATAGGGGTTTAAAAAACTTTATAAGCATCAAAAAAACTTTATAAGCATCAACATTTTTTTAAGCATAAAAAAAGACTTATTGCTTATTTAATGGGGGGTACAGCAATCTGGAAAGTTTTTTTTTGATGCGTGGGCTCGGACCCTACAGCTTGGCGGGAGGAGAGCAGGAAGGAAGGAAGGAAGGAAGGAAGGAAGGAAGGAAGGAAGGAAGGAAGGAAGGGGCCATCCATGCTTACGGTCAAAACAAACGCGGGTAGAAGTAGGAAATAGAGTTGTCAACATTCTTTCCC